TAAGGACGGCACGCCGGGTATTCGTACGGGGGTGGTGCGTAAGGGTTAATTTAATTTCCTTTCCTGGGTCGTCTTCATCGCGGAAGCGTGGAAGTGTGGATGCGCGGACGGGATGGGCGAGAGATGGCGTTGGCAGGGCCTGTGGGTACCTACTACGTAGGCAGGCGGGTGGTACATATCCGTACATACGCTGGTGTGCACCATTGGCATACACATAGCTGTCTGTACAAACAATGTACGTCGTGCAGTACGCTAAAGTAGGTAAGTAAGCATCTAAGGTAGTTAGTCGACTATCTACTCCGTACACTAGGTAGCTACCTACGTGGTGGGATGACTAGGTACCTGGACAATGCGTGCTCAATGGGATGGCACGAGCATGAGGTACTGCCTGATAGGCATGCCCTTGGCTAGGTTGCGGGGACACGGAATCCGGCAACAGCGAAGGTACTTCTGATGGCGGCTGGAATGACACACGATGGAAAGTACCGCAGCCGTATATCCGCTCCCAGGGCTCGACTCAGCTCGTATCGATCCTAACAGAAATACGGACGCTTGGAGAGTAAACAACGCCGCCCGGGAACGGGCCAGAAGAGACGACACCTGTGCAAATCAGCCCATCTGGCCGATTACGTGAGGCACGCCTGCTGGGCGCTCACTAAGAGACGAAGGAGCCAGCCATTCTTCTCTTAGCGCCCGATCTCCGACCAGCCCACGCGAACCCCTTTGCGACATATCGACATCTCTGCGACGACGGCTGGGCCAACGTTGGCTTGTGGACCGTCCCCATGTTCCTGCCAACATGCCTCGATACGCCAACAGCATCAGCACCGTCAACGCGGAGGGGATCGTCGTCGTCGCCCTACCAAGACCGACGACTCCCGCAGTCATAGCGTCATTCAAACCTGCAGTGCATCCGTACGTACCGCCATCCGAATTCTTTTTCTTCTCTCTCCCTCTCTCCCTCTCCGCGGGTGTATGCACGTCTGAAAGTCTGCATGCACGCCTGGCCGGGCTACCAAGGTCCGCCATTTAGTTCACTCGCCCTCGCACATACTATGCAACATATGGATACATCATACATGTCCATCCCATCTTTCTTCCCGCCCTCCCATCTTTTCCTGTCTGCTGTATCCGTATGTTCTTCTCGCTTTCCTATTTTGGGCCTCTAGGCTCTTAAGCGGGGGCGCTACTTGACGGATTGGAACGATGGAGTGATTACTCGCCCTGTCCAAAACCTTGGTTACCACACCCTCCCTGCTGGCTTGCCGTCATCGCCCTCCCAACCTCTCTCTCTCTCTCTCTCTCTTTCGGCCGAGCTCGTGATTACCTGATTCACCTGTTGCCGGCGAAGCAGTCTACGCCTCCCAAGACTTTCCAAGGCGCGCCTTCCAATGTTTCCAAAGGCCAGTCAAACTCATACTGCCCGAGGAAATGCGGCTGGCATGTTGCTTCGTCTGCTTTTCGTCCTACGCACCTCCGCGACGTGGAGTGTTTGGGTGCCCTACCTCAGACACCAAGATAGACCAGCAAACACTAAACTCGACCGGAGAAAAAAAAAAAAAGGCCAGCCCACACTCCCACCCTCTCCAATTCATTTCAATTATTGATTCTCCCGTTGTCGTGACACTCTTGCACTGCCACGAATACTTTCCCTAAAAGATGGCGGGTCTAGGACCACCACCGCTCCCGTTCGCACGTGAACCTGAACAGCCGGGCATCCGGCAGGACTTCTTTTTCTTTTTGTTATCATTTTCGTCCAATTCCCACTGAAGCGAACCCCCACCCCCCTGCTTGCGCGGTTTCGTCCCAGCGAGCAAGAACCTGGCCAGGGTCGTTTCTGAGCAAAAGGGAACCACGCGTCTGAGACGTCTAAAAATGGCCCCGGTTACCCAAGGGCCGCGGCACAGTCAATTGGTCCGCGGGCGCTCTCACGCTGCGACGGAGACAAGAGTCAAATGAAAGAGACTCATGACGGGCGTGTGTTCGCCTCTACAGAGCCAAGCTTGAAACAGCTACGCAGACACATCCGGCAACACCATGGTTTTCCCCCTCTCGCTTCCGACCGCGGCACATGTACGTAGCCGAACGATATGCTGCCCCGGCCTGCCTAGCACGCCGTAGGACGGACGCACCAAGACCCAGCCAACGTCGACGATGGAGGAGCGTCCAATGTTTCGGCCCAAGAACCGCTGGCCCGTTGTTACAGGACTTGCTAGTGAATGAAAATCCCAACTTTGCTCGATTCCAGTCCATGTCTGGGCGAGCGAGGCTGTGCATTCATTCTGTCAACACGCCCTCTGGAGACTCTTGCCGCATTGAGAAGCCAAATGCAACGCTTTCCAATCAACTTTGGGCACACGTAACGCCGCCTTGCTTTCCCACCTACCTCGGTTGCCCTCTCGCACAGCCCTGCGCCTCTCCTCCATCGTCTCTGAGACGCGGATGCCATCGTGCATCGCCACAATTGAAGATTTCGACTCGAGCGATCCCGGTTCTAGACGACCGCACATCAAACGTCAGTCAGAAACAGGTCCATACTCCTCACTCTCCCTCTCTCCTCTCCTCTCCTCTTCTCTCCTCTCCTCTCCGCAAATCTCACAATTCCGGATTCCCAAAAGGACGAAAGAACCCATCGGCACGCTGGAAAATCAACTCCTTCCCGGAGCGTCGAGCGACGGAGTCGTCGCCGATCGTTTACTCAAATAAACATTGCTGACGGGTCCGCAAACACACTCACACACATACAAAGAGGAAAAGACGAAGAAAAGAAGGGGGGAAACCGCACGCTCTTGCGCGGCGGGTGGAACGAGGTTTCCGTAATCGCTCATCTCACCTCCTTCCCAATGACATGACCCGCATGCCATCCGTCGGAAGCCTTCTTTTCCCCTTGCAGATTGCAATCCCACCCCCCCGACTGATTGACGCTACTGTTTTCTTGTTTTTTTCCTCCGCCCGTGCCTCCTCCCCAGCACAGTTTCGACGCGCTTCTCCGCCTCGCCTCTGAGCCCGGAAGACAGGCAGATCCTCAAAATGATTTCCCGCTTTTCATCAACGAAAAACATGTACAGCACAACCTCGCTATACTGACAACTTTGATCCATGTTGTCCTCTGCGCGCGCCACAAGGCCAGGGAGGGGAGTCGCCGGCTCTCAGGGAAGCGACGGGCTTCACTCGACTGGTCAGCCCGCAGATACGCAGTAAATGGCTTGCGGCTTTCCGCATTTAAAGCCTGAGAGAGGAAAAAGGTCACGACTACCCAGTCCCGTGTCCATCATCATCATCACTGGCCGTCCTGCTCAATCTGCGGCACGACGTCAGCCGCTCTTCGGTCGCGCCCCTCCTCCCTCCCCCGCCTGCTCGTCCGTACGTACCTTCTTCGTATAACCTACACGCGGATGTTGTTCTTGTTTAGCGTCGTGCGGCAGCATGCATATACAGTTTGCATCCCCCCTCCCCCCTTCGGCGTAGAGTGATGTCAAGTGTCGCTCGTGAGAAAAAAATAAAATAAAAATAAAAAACTACACCGGGAAGGGCCAAGGTACCTAGAAGATGGGCTGGCTAGTGGCCCCCCCCCCCCCCCCCCCCCCCCACCCGGCCGAGCATGCAATAACAACGCCGCCGCCGTCACCAGCAATGCCGGCCAGCCCGCTAACATCGCGATCGACAGGGCAACCGACAGCTTAATTGCCTCCTCCCGTTCATTTCCATCCCAACGTCCGGGTTTTTTTTTTTTTTTGTTTTTTTTTTCATATACATTCTTCTTTTCCCTTGCCCTTTTAGTGAGTCTAATCGACGGGCGGGGCCGATCAGACAGTGTAAAGTAAAGTCTGTGTGTGTGTGTGTGTGTGTGTGTGTGTGTGTGTTCATCAGGAACGCCAATATTTTGCCTGAAGCACTGGTGACGAGACTATATACCGGATTTTACCGTTCCTATGGGTCGAGGCGGAGGCTGCCGGCACACGACAGATGGTGATATTTTTTCAGTCACGGTTCCCCACTTGTCATCTTTCTACGCGGCCTCCCTCTCAGTCCTAATCCAGAAGGTTATAACCTCCAAGTCTAATGGTTCTTCCGGTTTCGATTTATATGGATGCAGCTTTCAGCTGCATGTAGTGCAGGTTTGTTAGCCTAAAATGGTAGTTGATTGAGGAATGAGGTACGAACCTCATCTGTGCGCTACTCTATACAATAAGATAAAAACCACACCTAGCGCGGGTCAAATACATATGGTTAGTCCTCCAGTGGAGTAATGGACAACAGGAAGCTTTGGGCTGATTCTCCGCGATTCGTGTGAGCACACGTAAGGTCTAATGCGGATGTACAATCATGAACCCAATTCTCGATAGTCGAGTGGTTGTGATGCAGAGTCGGGGGTGTGGGGTTGATACAATGTACGTAAGTAGTGAAAAGGTTTCGTACCAGAAACGAATTACGGGTCCAGGGAAAACTGCTCGGAAGATGCCGGAATGGCGGGTGTGTGTGTGTGTGTGTGTGTGTGTTCATGCAGAATCCATGTATTGATCAGTGTCACTCGCTTTCCCATACATTACTTGCTGCACCATCAAAGTCAATATGAAATAGAGTTAAGGGGGGGGGGAGGAAACTTCCAAGCCGTGATGATGAAAGCTACCTGAAAAATCTCCTGTAACCCGCAGTTGCTTGGTTTTCCGTCTCGCCCAGACCCAAAGCCGGACACATGCCTCGGGGACGGCGTTTGTACTAGAACCTCATTATGCCATAGCCGTCCTTTTTCAAAGGGGTCATGCTCACATTTCCCACAAACTCCCACCGATTCCCCTCTAAAACGAATCGGGTGTGTGAACGCCTCCCTCCCGCCTCTAATATCGTGGTATTATCGTATCGGCATTTCCGCCCCCTCCTCCCCCGGAAAGCCGCACTCCTCCCTTGCCTTCAAGGCCCGCGCCGACCGCGCCCGCCCCGAGGGGACGGCAGGACGTTGTCTTCTTCTATCTGATCTCGCTCGAAAACCCCCTTTCCTTTCAGTCGTACGAGTCCCACTGCTGATTCCACGGCTTGTTCGTGCCTTGGAAGTCCATGCCGTGCTTGTAGCCGCCGAGCAGCTCCTCCTGGTCCACGCCACAGTGCGTCTGGCCGTCGCGACCCTCGAACCAGCCCAGCCCGTACGTCTTGCCAAGCTTCTCGAGGTGGCGCACCATACCCGCGTTGCTCAGCTTGGACGTGCCGACGAAGTCGTAAATCATCTTGCTCTGGTGGATGTACGCCAGGTGCGACGCGATGGTGTTGGGCTGCCGCGGCAGGAACGGGTGCCGCCGCCGGAGGAACACAACCGTCGAGACGGCGCCCATGTACAGCAGGATGAAGGTCGCCATCACGTACGAGACCCAGAACGACGCGACCGTCTCCTGGCCCGCGTTGATGTCGTCGGCCTCGCCGGGCTTGCCCGTCCCTGAGGACGTGACCTCGAGGAATTCCGTGCCCACGACTGTTGCCAGACCCGTCAGCAAAACCGTCAAGACCTCGGCCATCATGCTGCCGAAGCCCACCAGGAACATGAGCATGTGTCCGTTGAAAAAGGCCTGGAACGGCATCAGGCCAAACGGCATGGCCGTGTAATCCAGCGTGAGCGTCTTGGATGGCGAGTGCCTCTTGGACAGGATGTAGTAGGGCTCCATCATGCGCATGTCCGTCTCCAGGCCTCCCCAGCCGAGCTTGATAGAAACGGCCAAGGCGGTCACGATCCACGGTGCTTTGGCCGTGATGACGCTGGCGTTGGAGAAGAGGAACACCGGGATGAAGCCCAGGAACAGCAAGATGCCGATGATGAAGGGCAGGAAACCGTGGGGGCGCAGCGAGCGAGGGTGAGGGTTCTGAGACGCGTAATCGTCTTTAAACCTGTCCGTTTCCTGCGAGGATGCCGGATTCTCGTCGTCGGGAGCCAGCGATGCGTTTCGGAGAACGTAGCGGCGGTGCTTGAGCCTGGCATGGATATCGCGGTGGCTCACGACATCCAGATCCGCAAAGTCCACAAGGATGTGGCTGACAACGGCCATCGAGGCGAGGCCTGCGATGCCTTTGACGTCGGCCAGCAGGCCAGACCTCCTCCTCTGGAGGATGTAGATGAGGACGCAGCCAAAGAAGGCGCAGACGCACAGGGTCGAGGAGAGCAGCCTCGCCCACACCGCTTGGAGGCGGATCTCCTTGTCGCCGTTGGGGTGCGCAAGTCGCGTAGCCCGATCGGGATACAGGACAAAGGCGGCGGAGCCAAACGTCGGCACCAACGACACGGCCAGGGAGGTCGCGATGGACGATGCGGCGACGGCAAAGTGCCGCAGCTTGATGGCTCGGATGGGCCGCAGCCAGCTAAAGCACGTGACGTAGTCGACGTTGAGTGATTCGGCCGCGAGTGCGCCGCCCTCTTTCGACAGCTGATAGTACGCCTCGAGGCGCTTGACCTCGAAGTCGGTGACCTGCCACAAGACACCGTAGACGACGGAGAGTATCGTCGGCAGGAACTTGACGGCGAAATACTCGAGCGCCGGGACCTCGGCCGGAGACTGAAACTGGACCAGCGGGTGGGTCCTCGATCTCTGAAAGAGGAACTCTACCATGATGGCCAGAGCGATCGACAAGCTGATAAGCCCGGTCAGGTAGGGCCATCTCATCGGAAAGGGCTTCCAGTTGGGCTGCGGGTAAAACACCTGAGTCTTCTGGCCCTTGTTGGCGGGGAACGTGGCCTGGCGCATGCCATCGCCACCGCCAATGTTCGGCCCCGTCATGACGCTGAGGTCGACCTGGTCGAATAGTCCCGGGGACGGCTGCGGTTGCTCTTCCATGATGACTTCGATGACCTCTCCCCTCTTGTTGGCCTCGTCCTGACCGAGATCCTTGATTGTCGCTCGACGGCCCAGGCTCGGCCTGCCCAAGCTGGGCCTGCGAGTGAAAGATCGCGTGAGGGATCTCTTTGGCGATTCGGGCGAAAAGAGGTCCTCACGCTTGATCGTGGTGTCGGGCTTGAAACCCGCCCCCAAACCGCCGGTGAGGAAACCCCTCGCCTCCTGCTCCTGCAGTTTCTTCACGAAGGCCTCGTCTTGGAAGCCCATAGGTCCAAGGGTGGCGGTCACATCGAATATAGGTTCGTCATCCAGGACCGCGTCGTCTTGCGGCGCTCGACCAATCGCCGCGGCGGAACGCAAAAGAGATAGGTCGTGCCCCTCTTCGGGGATGGGCTTCTCGCCGCGGCGCGAGATGGCGCGGCCAACCTTCCGGCTCGCATGTGAGGACGATCTCGAGGGTGCGCTGGATCTAGGCGACAAGGACTCGTAGCCAGATGCGCCAGAGTACGGGAAGGACGGAGGCCATAAGGAGGCTGTCGCCGGTCTTATGTCGGTGTCGTCTGAATCGTGCAGCGAGGACCGGTGTGAGTAGGACTGTACGGATGCTATGGAATGCCTCGCGCGGACGGGAGGGGCGGTTGTCTCGAAAGTGAAGCTGTCAAGGTCGTTGACCTTGGTCAAGTTGGAGGAGAGGCGATGGTTGAGCCCGGGCTCGCTCGCTTCCGGGGTTCGATAGGACGCGCCAAAATCTCCGTTATACGTCATTGTTTACCTAGCTTTCATGTCGCCAGGACAGAGTTGTCGTTATTTGTCAGTCGTGTTGCTGCTTCCCCGTGGGTTGGGAGTGGGTTCCGGAAGTGTAATGCGATGGGTCACCGAGCCGGTATAAGACTGCCGCCGAAGGCAAGCGAGAGAAGTCCAAAGCAGTAGTAGTAAAAGAGCGAGCAGTGAAGAATAAGGCGGGAGAAGGACAAAATAAAATAGATTAACGAATGAATCAATTCGGTCAAGCGACAGCTGGCGTCTCCGGCGTCTTCCTTGTCGAGCCAGCCAAAAGGAAAATTAGAGGGGGAGAGTGGGAGAAGAGAAGGCCTGGAAGCGAGAGGCTGGACCATGGGACAGCTGAGAAGAAGGAGGTTGTAGGGCTGGCCGCTAGCTGGTGGACGACGTGTCTCGTGTGGGGAGGGAGGTGCAATTGGCGGCGCGTAGGAACGGATATGTCAACGAGAGACTGCTTCCAACATGGGGTTCCCCACTAGCTTATGAGACCTGGCACAAAACACTTTGAACCACTCCGGACGACCCAAATCCGGGACCGCATGCTACAAGTGCCGCGATCCGACGGGGGAGGGTAAGGCTGGGTCAAGGGAAGGACGGCGGACTCGGATGGATGAAGGTGACGGTGACGGAGACGATAACGATGATGCAGGGAACGGTACGGATGTTCACGTAGTAGAGGAGAAACAGCATCTTCTCGGTTCGTCCCTCACCAGCGCCCAACCCACAAAGACGTGACGTGATCCATCACTCCGGACCGTAGATTCAACGTTTCAGATGGTGCCCCCGTCGGAAAGTCCCACATTCAGCCCGTTCTCGCATGATGGCCTTGTCGGATTCCCGTTCCAACGCGAAAAATGCTGTGGGACACGACTCATTGGTTTTCCCACTCCTTTCGGACCACATGTCTCTGCTCGTCCCTGTGCTCCGTCCCCCCCCCCCCTGCCAGGGGAGGAGCGCAACCCATCGGACGGCCAACCACGGACCACAGCTTGATGAGGCTTCTGCTGCAATGTAGGTACGGAGTAATACCTGCAGGGCAATCGATAGTTAGTTGCCGTCGGGTCCGACAAAGACGCTGCGGCTGCAGCCTTTCAACTTTCAAAGGGCGAACGCAAACGCAAACCCCTCTCTTTTGGGCCTTTGGCCGCCCTCCTCTTGCTGCACGTTTTCCTAGTCGCATGCATGTCTGCGCTAGTCACTCTCAGCCCCTCGCGCGCTGAGGCGTCAGGTCACCGGCGCTTAGCAACAGCAACTGCGGAAGCGGCTGGGCCTAGCAAGCAATACGAAGAGGGCGTCTGTCTGTCTGTCTGTCTGTCTGTCTGTCTGTCTGTCTGTCTGTCTGTCTGTCTGTCTGTCTGTCTGTCTGTCTGTCTGTCTGTCTGTCTGTCTGTCTGTCTGTCTGTCTGTCTGTCTGTCTGTCTGTCTGTCTGTCTGTCTGTCTGTCTGTCTGTCTGTCTGTCTGTCTGTCTGTCTGTCTGTCCGTCCGTCGGAGCTCTTCCGCCCCCGACTGGACCGTGTTTCTGGACGGGCGACAGGACACCCTCGCCTTGCTATTGGTCTCGTTGCGACATAAGACATTATCTGGGGGAATGGGGGCCTTTCGTCTGATAATGTACCTGGGGAAGCAAATAGTCCGATGCCATAACGAACTTTTGGGATCGAAACCGTTCATCCCTCGTGTTGCTTAATGCAAGGCTGGCCATCCGAGCCCCGTTCTGGGAAGAAGAGCCTCCGACATGCTTGTCACGTTGCGGTCCTCGTTTCAGAGGGGAGCATCACCGTGCCATCTGGGATTCTGCAGGATCGGTGTCACGGCGTCGACTCCGATCGTCCGAGATTGGTCGTTCCCTTGCCCACCACCAAGGCATTGGGTTTTTGTTCCTTGCTTTCAATGTCATGAAACCCTCCCAAATCCACTGATCGGCTTTTATCTGCGTGCTCGTACCAAAGCCTTCACGGCCCGATGTAGGTAGTGAGAAAGGATGTGTGGGTCGACTCGACGCGGCTTACTCCGGGAGGAACTCGGTACATGGGTCGTCATCTTCCAGACTCCATCAACGAAAGCATTCCAAGCTGGTCGGTTAGCTCAGTTGGTTAGAGCGTGGTACTAATATTCCACCAGGAATGTTGTGTGATGCCAAGGCCGGGAGTTCAAGCCTCCCACTGATCATAACTTTTTATTCGACTACGCACTGCAATCAAATGCACCTTTGCACGTTGGACCCAATATTTGTTTTTCGGGTTTGTTTTTCTTCTTTTTCCCCTCTCCGTTGCGCTGGTCAGATAGATGGATGTGTGTGCACCCTGTCCTTGTATGTATTTTTTTTTAGCAAAATGAAGCTGGTAGGAAGGTAACTGGTGAGTTTTGGCATTGTAGAGAGGTAATTCGACGCGCTCCTTCACTCGTGGTGCATAAGAGTCACCATCTCGAACCCCATAACTTCAAGAACTTGATTTGTTGACAATGTACTGACTTAGACTTCGCGTAACCCGACGGAGCCGGCCACATCTGTTAGATAACCTGTGATGCCTTTCTCCGAGGGCTTGGAGACCTGCATCTAAAGATCGGGGCTCGAAACCACAAATCTTATATATATATATATAACTGCGTAGTTGACTTGTCGACAAGCCTGAGGGGTTCCCAGCTCAGTATCCTTGGGGGGGGGGGCAACGAATGACACCCTGCCTCTCTCGGCTCATAGTGAACGCGAAAAAAAAGGCAGTGACACCTAGTTGCCAGTACCTCAGCTGCTGCATGCGTCTCTAGTTCCTTCAACTGTTGATGACACCGTTCTATATATGAGGCAAGGGACGACCCATACGCGGGAACAATACAGATGCTCATGGACGTTCGATCCCGCACTTTCAAGAAACAAGAGGGCTCCCTCGCCTTGCTGACCATGTGACCTTCCACTACGCCATTAGTTGATCAAGCAGTCAAACCTGCAGCTTGCCCCGAGAACCGAAGCGCGCGCAGTGCCACCATGCCCGCACGGGAGAACCAGCCCAGTTCCTTATCGACAGCATACTGTATATAATCCAACGCAGAGAGGTGAAGAACCGAGCCTCTAGGCTCACGAACCAACTACATCCTACCCGCTTACGTCTTTGCCCGGCAACAAGCCAACACCGGCAGGCACCATAGTCGAACGCGGAGCATAAATCGTGTCTTTGCCGAAACACACCAGGCCGAACCGCTACGCTGCTCCTGTGACGCCCGGACGGTGTCGGATCTCTCTGGCGTCCGTACTTGATGCCTCACTCACTGCCGTGTTTCCGGGCGCGGGGGGGATAGGCCCGCCTTTGCCTTCATCAACGTCCAATGTACCAGTCGATAATCTCTAGGGCCAGGGACCGGTCTTGCCGGTTGCCCGAGGACCTTTGACACCCACTTGGTGGTTCCGGCTTGACCTGGGAACCATCGGAGAAGGGCAGGCGCGGCCGAAGCCACAAAACAGAGTAGGGAAGCGGCAGACCCAATAGGGGCTCAGAAAGGCATGGTTCTTTATTGAAAGGGGGGGTGGGGGGGAGGTCAAGTCCAGAGCATTTTAAAAGTCCAGAGGGACCCAACCCGTCGGGAGTTGACTTATAGCGAACCATTGCCTGGCCACGAAGGACGGCCGGCGGCTCCCGTAGTTGATGGTGGGTTCTTGAAGTCCCCTCGCCGCCTGCCCCCTCCCCCCGGCCGGAATCCCCTTACTCGAGCTTCAACGTCGGCGGAGCACTGTAGTGCGTGCATGGCAGGAACGAGTCTCGGCGTCAGGTTATTTAAGGAACGGCCGGGTGCTTTCGGCATTGAGTGTGACAGGGAGACAGCGTCTCTTTCCGGGATTCACGCGGGTTTATCCTTCATGTACCGGCAATGGGGTTCATAGAACCATCACCATCCCTCGTTACTCTCCCATCAGGGCGCGCGGGGGGGGTTGTCAAGCTCAAAACGAACATTGCGGTACGTTCCATCACGTAGCTAATGCCTAGTGCCACCCTGCCATATATACGAGAGGCATGCTTAGTGGACGTCGTCGTGAAACCCATATCTGACGAGGACCGTATTCGAGCATAAGGTCTTACGAAATCACGCAGTCGTCAGCCAACAGGCCAACGTTGGTCATTTATCCACGCATCAGGCGACAGCCGTCGTTGTTCTTTCCGACACATCTGTATTCTGCGGTATGTATGTATGCTGTGGAAGCACTTCAGCAGCCCACGTGGTAGGTACAAACCCGACAATCTAATCTTCAATGGCCACAAGCCTGTGTTTTCCGTCTATGCATAGTCGCCGCCCCGAGAACTCCTGACATGCTGTGTATCATAAGACAAAAATTATACGATAAAAAGTCATTAAAAATAAACACTCGTCTTAGAGCAGAAACAGTGCGCAGGCTAGGGCCATGCCCAAAACCATACCCGACACAGCTGGCCGTCCCGGTGACGCGCCGGTGACCTTGCCGCAGCACTCACGTGTGTACGTAACGTTGTTCATCTTCGCCTGGACTTCAAACACAGAACCGGGGTAGCCGCCGTAGTTGTAGTAGTCGACGTTCAAAATCTTGGGTGGACGGCCCCAGTCGGCGGTACACTGCTGGGCCCCGACGCCGAGGGAGCCATAGCCGGTGACGTTGTTTGTTACGTTGAGCAGGGAGACGGCAGGGACGAGAATGGAGGCTCCGAAGATGTTGTACTCGGCGTTGAGGTTGTGGTTCAGGAGGTAAAGGCGGTCACGTGCGGCGTCGCCCGGCAGGTCGGGCGGGCGCTGGACGGTGCAGGGGAAAGAGCGGTCCATGGGGTCGAAGGGGGACTCCCACATCTGCGAGAACTCATCGAGCAGCCAGGGAAACTTCTGCTGATCGGCCATGTAGTCGAGGAACATGACAACGCGCTTGCCGCCGAGGATCATCTGGGAGAGGGTCGGCCAGTTCTCCAGGGTCATGGGGAGGTAAGGGGGCTCGTAGGCGTATTGCAGGATGCCCGAGGCCTCTATGAAGGGTGCGTACAGGTCCGGGGTGGAGTAGTTGCCATTGCCAAGCAGGATGGTCACGACGTCGTATGGGTGAGAGGCGACCCATTCACGAACGGTGGTGAGCCAGTCGGTGATGGGACCGGCTGTGGTATGTTAGTTGCGGCTCTGCAGACACGCCCGGAGAGAAGCTTACCATCGAGTATGTCACAAGAAGAGTGGCAGAAGTGCGGCACAGTGCCGTTGGTGGGCCACTGGATCTGGGCCTGGAGAAAGCGGACACCGTCGTTGAGCTGGGTGGTGACGTCGAGGGCCTGGTTGGAGGCCGAGTTTCCGGGGCGCACGAAGGGGGAGTTGTGGCACCCGACCTCGGTGATGTTGCTGTACTTGCGTTCGCAGAACTCGACGTAGTTGTTGCACGGCTGAGTGTTGGTCGGACCGGCCGGAGCAGTGGTGGTCTGGGTCGAGTTTCCGGTCATGGTAGAGGTGACGACCGAAGTCTGGCCCGAGATGATGACGACGGACTGGCCGACGGAGTTGGTTGTGGTGTGGGTGACGTTGCCGGTGACCGTCATGGTCCCGGTCATGGTGGAGAGGTCACCATTTCCGAGAGTGATCTGGGACGTGTAGGTCGCATAGGGCCCCGTCGGCGTTCTAGGCTGGGTGACGGGAATCGTCTTGGTACCTGTCAAGAAGGTCACGTCTTCGGTGTTGGAGAGAGTGACTTGACTTGTGCTGAGATCCTGAGCTCTGGCTGGAGCTACGAGGAGGGACAGCAGCCCGAGGGTCAAGACGAAGAGACGTCGTGTCATGTTGGGCGGAGCAGCCTCTCGCGAGGACTCGTGTGTCTGCGTACGAGTTTTGTAGATGTCTCGGTCGACCACAACGAAAGGGCTACTACCTGGGACAAGTTCGAGGGTGGTGAGGAGGTACCGGATCGGGAGAGTTTGTATTCAGAGCAGTCGTTGGGATGGCAGCGGGACGCAGAGGCCACTAGGTGCTACTCAGGGGAGAATTGGGTTGGAAGCCAAAATGCAAGAAAAAAGCAGTCATCGGACGATGGACGGCGAACGACGACGTTGGGACTGAGCCGGAAAGGTTCGATGACGATCTCCAAGCACTATCCCTACCGTCAATTACCAAAAAGCACGCTAGAGAGGGACGGAGGGGAGGAAGGGTGAAGCAAGAGAGGGATAGTGTAGAGAGAGAGAAAGAGAAAGTGCTGGAAGTTTGGTGATGGGCGACAGAGACGGTCATTTGCATGCATTTCACATGAGAAAATGTCGGTTCAGGGAAGGAACAGCCAGCCAGCCAGGCTACCTACCTACCTACCTACCTACCCGAACTTCAACCATCAGTCAGTCCATGGCTGTGCCAACGTGCGCGCCTAGCAGCAATAGCAAAAGTAATGCGAGAGCTCAAGCGAAAGTTGCTCTTTGCTCCCCCCGTTGAGCCTATGACATAATTTTTGTGTCGTGGTCTGGGCGCTTTGGTCTTTTCTGGGGTGGCCAGAAGCTTTCTCCTTCTCTCTTTACTACTAGGTAGAAGTGGGTGGTCCGGACCCCGAGACAGCACTACCGGTACGCAACCGCAGGAAACAAGATCAAGTCACACACCCCTGGATCGGTTCCATTATGGAGGGTCAAGACGATCCACCTCGGTGGAAGATGCTGCAAGGATCGCTGGGGATTTGCCGGGACCCTGCTGCTGGCATCGGCAGCTCCAGCTGGACAGGGTCGCGGTCGCGTATTGCATCTCACAAAGGGAGGGAGTATCGGTACAGTATTGCGTGAAGAGGAATGAGCATGGCCAATAGCAACAGCATGCTACACTACATCAACAACAAACATGGGCACTGCCAACACCAACACCAACACCAACACACGATCGGATGAGGGGGGCAGTGCCCGCGTTTCTGCTGCTTCTGAGGCAAAGAACAGGGGCCCGATACGGGCAGACTTCCCTAGCGATCGGCGGCACAGGAAGCCGGCGCGGCGTGGTGGACGCGTGTGCAGGACATGCCCTGTCTCGGGTTCGGGGCTTCCTGGAAACCAACCAAAGGCTGGGCAGTGGAAGTAATCGTACATGGCAGCCGGCGAGCCGAAAAGGAAACGAACGCCCTAAACCGGCATTTCGGAAACCCAGAATGATGTACAATGCAGGCATGACGGGAGAGGGGGGGGAAACAGAGGGTTTAAGGCACAGCATCTGGCTGGCTATCCTTATTTCGTTTGTTTCAACAGAGATATCGGGTTGTTTTTCTAATTTAGGGGCATCAAGACCAGCTATTACTGGCTTGAGTCCCTGGGTTGCTCTCCCAACAGAGCCCGAGCAAAAGAGGACCGGGAGTTTGACCAAGTATACGCGCGCGTGTGTGCATATGAACCGTTTGTATCCGTATACTACAGGACTACGGAGTATTCGCAGAGGAACGATACCGCCAACTTGCAGACCGGGGCCAGAAACAGGAGTCAGCAGCTCTTGTCCACCCTTTGGGATTGCAAGGCCAGTTAGCCCCTTACTACCACCTAGTAACAGCCGCCGACCACCACCATGATGATCCCATTTTCAGCTGTGAAGGGGTGTCTGCTTACTGATCGGCCACTCAACCGAGACCGAATGGCACGATAGTCGGTAGGCTAGACCCCTCTTTGGAGGCGGTGCAGTGCGGTGCGGTGCTATGCTGTGCTGTGCTGTGCTGTATTGTACGGGTACGGATACTGTACTCCTTATAACGGCCAACAGGCAGCAACGGTAGCGGCCTCGTATAGACACTTCCTCGGGCCCCGGAGACAGGGCCGTCTCCGCTACTTTGAGCCCCGCGGAGAGATAGCGCAGCAAAGCCTATGCAGTAGGTGGTGAAATCCAACGGTCCAATGTGGACTGGCCAGCACAGCAATCCCGTCCCACCTGTCTGTACCGGCACATCTGTTCTGGTGGTTCATTCCATTTGCCTATTATGTACGGAGTACCGAGTAGTTTATCCAACTCGTTTTCCCTCCTTTTCTCGCCTTGTGTTGTGCTTGGGGGGGTGCCGTGTCGATGGAGGGTCCAAGTGGGCCAAAAACAAGGTCAAATGTCCCATTGGCCCCACACGGCTCGCAGCCAAGACCCACTAGCCGTGGCGCCGCTAATGTGCCCAAGACACCCACTGCCTATGATGTGACCGGGAAACAGGAGACAGAAGGGGGGGGTAGGAGGAGAGAGAAAAGACAGGAAGAATAAGAAGCATTGGAAAGGAAAAAGAAAAAAAAAACCACTGGTTGACCTGCATTGCTACGACGTCATTCTCCCTGTTGGGAGTTGTCAGTGACCCTCCTGCCTGTACACAAACACACTTGGTTACCCACGTTGGGATTATTTTCTATCAATCTTTTTTCATAATTTTTTCTTCTTTTTTTTCAATTCTTCTCCCAGTTGAACCCTGCTGGGCTACCCGACGACTTGTCCTGCCCTCATGTTTACTAACCGGGGGGATCCATTGAAACAGCCGTCCCGTTCCCGTTCTGACCTGGCCTGCTGCTCTGGTGATTTCCGTGGTTTTATACACGCTCTGGATTCAAACTCCCACAATTCCATACCGGGCTCTTGGTAATTTCTTCTAGGTTCGAAGCAACCTACATGCCCATCGTCATTGTCATTGACCTTTCGGAGGAGTAAGATCGGCCCGAGACACCTCCTTGACTCTGAAGTGCTGGCAACCCACCTCCCCCAAGCCGTTGCATCATCCACTACTCTTTTCTCCATTCGTCTCACCTTTGGCGACGAGAACCGCGCGGAGAGAGAGGGATACGTATACTGCGTCATATCATTTCTCACCTATTGTACAAGTCGTTGGTAGATATCTGGGGACCGAACCACGGCCGGTGCTCCGTACACTCCATCTTCCCCGGACCTAGACCTTGGTCCCACGTCCAGCTGCCTCTCTTCACGACGGCCTCACTCGCTACCCCTTTCCCGTCTTGAGATTCCCAACCCACCATGGCAAAAGCCCGCCGGAACAGCGCCATCGCGGCCGCTGCCTGCTACTTCATCGCCATCATCTTCCTCATCCTCATCATCATCGGCAACACCTCCATCAAGCCCGTTCTGACCGACATTTACTTCTTCAAGCTCGACGTCAGCGACATCATCCCCCTCTCCTCCTCCAACGCCGCCCTCCTCAACTCCGTCGCTCGGAGTCTGGGCCTCCACGACTTTTACCAGGTCGGCCTGTGGAACTTCTGCGAGGGATACGACGATGAGTGAGTGCCAACCGCGAACCACCTTCCGTCCCCTTACACCGCGCATGCTGATATTGACGGATTCGCAGGGGCGTCACCTTCTGCTCTACCCCCCAGCGCATGTGGTGGTTCAACCCCATCGAGATCCTGACCAACGAGCTGCTCGCCGGCGCCACCATCGCCCTGCCCTCCCAGGTCACCACCATCCTCAACATCCTCCGCATCGGCCAGCAGGTCATGTTCGGCTTCTTCATTGCCGGCATCTCCCTCGCCGCCGCCCTCCTCATCGCGACCCCTCTCGTCATGCGCACGCGCTGGTGGAGCCTGCCCGTCGCCATCTTCGCCTGCATCACCGGCACTCTCGTCACAGTCGCCTCCATCATTGGCACCGTCATGAGCGTCGGCGCCCGCATCGCCCTCACCCAGCAGCAGGAGCTCAACATCAAGGCCGTCCTGGGCGTGCGCATGTTCGTCTTCATGTGGCTCGCCAGCGCCCTCGTCACCGTCGCCGCCATCATTCACATGGCCATGGGCTGCTGCTGCTCGCCGCGCAAGGAGAGAGAGGCGGCTGCTGCGGCGGCGGCGGCGGCGAACAACGGTACGCCCGAGAAGACGACCCACACGACAGAGACGGGCGAGAAGCCATCGAAGCTAGCGGCGTTTATGAGAAAGCGCAGCCCGAGGGCGTCGACGTCGTGAGTTGTATGTTGTCTGAGTAGGCTTTTCAGGCACGACGTGTACGATGATTACTCTCGTAGAGAGAACACCGGCCCGGACCGGTCGATATAGGTCGCTGATCCGAAAGCCGGTGCAGAGACAGAGGGAGGAACGAGAACGAGTGGATATTGGTAAATATCCCGGGAGCTGCTCGTTGCCGGCATGGACAAACAATTGAAATTGAGCAATGGACAAACAGTTGAAAACGAGCAATGGCGTTGGTGGTTTGCGGCACGTTGGGACGGCCATGACATTAGACTTTCTGACAGATTAAGTAGTAGAGACGAACACACGTGCATATAGACAGGCAGTACTCGGTACATAATCATCACCAAAACCCTCCTCTGATGCAACCAGACTGCCGACTCGCAACAATCCATCGGGCGTCCGTCCATCGGCCGTGATTGAGACAAAAAAAACAGTTCGGCTCTTCACCTCGCATATGTGTACAATGAAACCGCATCGCGGTCGAAGCGCGACTGACTGATTGGGTGTACACCACGCAACGTGGGCTGACTGTACCGTACCGTCACTGGGGGGACCCCTACAAAAACTATATACCTCGGCTCGTCTGACCTCATCGGCCGGAGCTCATCCCCAGCTCCCACATCTCCCTCCCCCCCTTTTTTCCCCAGATCGCCGACCACTTCCTGCCCTCGTGCATCGCAACGACTTATTCTGTATGTGCAAAAGGCAATCCCGAAGAAGGGCCAGACAACCCAGCACTCAACTTCAAGCACCGTACGGGAACATACAAACGCACACACACACACACACACATTCTCCCCTCCCCCCTCGCAGCCATGGACGTCGCATCGCTCTTCAACGTCAAGGTTAAACCTCACTCGCCCACCATCCCCTCCGTCACCACCGTAGAACTCGCGCGCTGACCCGGACCCCCCCCCTCCCCGGCAGGACAAGAACGTGCTCGTGACGGGCGGGCGCCAAGGGCGTCGGCTACATGATCTCGGAGGGCTACGTCGCCAACGGCGCGACGGTGTACGTCTCGTCCCGCGACGCCGCCGCTGACTAAGACCTTATGGTGACGCGCATAGTACGAACTTAACATAGATCCTGTCCGACATCATACACAGCTAAGTAAGTTCGAAATCATTTAGGGAGTCCCACTCAAAACGACAGTTCAGAACGATGACATCGAGATTGTCGACCTCCAGAAGCTCGACGACTGCCGCCGGCTCGTCGACGAGCTCGCCGCCCGCACGGCCGGCCGCCTCCACGTCCTCGTCAACAACTCGGGCGCCACCTGGGGCGAGCCCTTCGACACCTACCCGGACGCCGCCTGGACCAAGCTCCTCACCCTCAACCTCCAACGCGTCTTCACCCTGACCCAGCTCGCGACGCCGCTGCTGGAGGCTGCGGCGGCGGCGGCGTCGTCGTCGTCGTCGTCAGCCACCGAGGGAGGAGGAGGAGGAGGAGGAGGAAGGGAGTCCTTCGCCGACCCGAGCCGCGTCATCAACATCGGCAGCGTTGACGGCCTGCGCGTGCCGCTCATGAGCAGCTACGCCTACAGCGCCAGCAAGGCGGGGCTGCACCACCTGTCGCGGGCGCTGGCGCGCGAGCTGGGGCCCCGCGGCATCACGAGCAACGCGCTCGCGTGCGGGCCCTTTGAGAGCAAGATGATGCGCGCCACGCTCGACTCGATGCGCGACGTCATCGAGAGCGAGGTCCCCCTGCGGCGTATCGGCACCCCCCAGGACGTCGCCGGCGCGTGCCTGTTCCTCAGCGGGCGCGCCGGCGCCTTCGTCACCGGGGCGACCATCACCGTCGACGGAGGCATGGTTCTGGCGTCCAAGCTGTAGGCTGAACAGGTGCGCCGCGGGGGGGGATGGACGAAGAGAGAGAGAGAGAGAGAGAGAGAGAGAGAGAGAGAGAGAGAGAGAGAGAGAGAGAGAGAGAGAGAGAGAGAGAGAGAGAGAGGTCGCAGTGCTCTGTTGGCGGTACTGCTTGTGGATGGTGGGGGAGGAAGAGAGAGAGAGAGAGAGGGGGGGAAAAGAAAAAGTCCTGGAATGACTGGATCACAATATCACGACGGAGACGTGGCAAGAACAGAGTGAATGCAGTAAAAAAACACCACAAGACTGGAGTATATATCTTTTTTCAAGAGTAAAAACCAAAACAGTTTCGGCAGGACGGTTCGCGCGCGCCGAGGTGGTATTCGTACATGAAAAGAAAAAAGAACTGGTGAGCGAAGATCCGACCGGATATGCCTGGTTTGTGGTCCCGAGTCGTCCTCCCCCGTATATTCCCAACGCCTCTTTGACTCCTCGTGTATGTTATCATGAAATATCCCGCGTTCAAAGTCAGACATGAGATGTTCCCTTTCCAAAGCCCGCAATGCAATAATGCCCCCTTTCCCATGATGCGCCACCGCGAGATTCGTCATTGTAAGGAGAGAGAGAGAGAGAGAGAGAAGAATAAGGAAAAAAATGAAGATGAAAAAAAAAGAGGGGGGAAAAGATGATAAAAAGGCCGAAACCGTCTCCAATGTCTATCCCCATTTTTTCGCTTGAACCCTCGAGAGGAATGCAAAACCGATTAGAGACTTGTAACGTCGATTCAACACTGTGGCGGAGCGGTGAAGAATGTCGGATGATGGAAATGGCAACAACGAGCGGCAATGGAAGACTTTGGGTCGGTCGTCGACCCTCGTGGACTTGTCTTCTTCCCCGGCTCCCCGGAAAGCGTCGCGCGAGGTCGCCGTGCGCGCAGCCTCGGGCTTCTCGGGCCCGCGCTGTTTCAGCGGCTCCTCTCGTCCGATGGTTCGGCAATGTCTAGCGGAACGGTCTAAGCACCCCCTTGCCCCCCCCCCCTCGCTACATCCCCCAAAGGGTTTTCGTGAAAAACAAAAACCTGTTTCGCGGGGCTGAGGGGCCTATCGCAGACTGCAGCTGGCGAACGACGACGATTGGTGGGAGGGCCGCGCGCCTTCTATGACAGGCCGCAGGACTCAAAGTCGCGCATCATGACGGCCATTTGAGCGCGTTTCGCGGCCTCGGCGACGAGGGTGAAGTCGCGGAGGAATGCCTCGGTCGACGGGGCGGCCTGGCCGGTGGCCTGGGGCGGCGGGACCATCTGGTTCGTGGACATGTGCGAGGAGGACGACGATACCGAGGACGTGGAGTCCTGGCGCTTGGGAGACTGGATCGGTGCGTTCATGGTGATGATGGTTGACGATGATGTTTTATACGTATTGTGTTTGGTTGGTGGCGGTATGATGGGTTTCCCTTGATGGCAAAGAGGGACGAGGAGCAAAGGGCGGAAGGGTTTGGCTAAATGGTAGGTCCGGGGGAAAGAAAAATGGTGGTATTATAGTCCCCAGATCTTCGAGTCCGGGGCGGCGTCGATCTTGTCTTTATGTGAGACCCAAAGTACAGGTACCTGAACCGAGGTGATGTCAAGCGTGGGGGAGGGGGAGGTGGACAGATCAGGAACCGGAAGACGAGAATGAAGCGTCCGAAGTAGAGGGAGCGTGCGGACGATGCTACCTTCTTTTAACACAATGGATATCGACGTCTGGCCTGGGTTTTGTGCAGAGAGGAGAGACGGACGGAATGGCCGTGAGGCGTGGGTGGATGCGTTTAAAGTGATCGTGGGACGACCCCTGGGTCCTGGTTCGGTGACAGGCTAGCTTGCGGGACGAACTTGTCTTGCTTGTACCAATATTGGATTGCAATATTGGAATCTCGGCGCGATTTGCGCAGGACCAACCCTGGCGAGTCGTGGGGGCAGGTAACAGCAGCAGCAGCAGCAGCAGCAGCAGCAGCAACAACAACAACAACAACTAACAGCGGTGCCTGTGGGATAGGTTGGGGACGTCGACAAGGGTCAGAAGCGAGAGGCGGATGGCCGAGCGAGGTAGGTCAAGTCGTTTTCTGGTCCTGGAGGAGGGATGCGAGAGAGCAAGCAAGCAGCAGCAGGAGAGTGAGACAAGTAAGGGGGTGGGATCGACTAGACCACACTGAGGCGCGGAGGGATGTTGCGACTCTTATGCGTGGGATGGCTCGACAGAGGAGGGCCAGGTTACAAGCGTGTGCCGGACCTTTTTCTCTTTTTTTTCTTCTTTCTTTCTTCTTTTTCACTTCTGTCTCCCTCTTCCAGAAATTTGGGCGTCGGTAGTCGATGCGGGTTGGCCCAAATCGACTAGGCTGCGGGAAAATGGATTGGGGGGGGGGAGGGTGGGTAGCAAGCAGCTTTTTCTTGCTCGAGTGTGGGATTCTGGGCCGAAAGAAGGCTGGGATGTTTGGCCAGCTCGCGGGGGATTGTGTGTGTGGTGTGTGGTGTGGGTGTGGAAGAAGAGTGATGATGTGATGGGCTTGGCTCTTGATTGGGTTTGGCTGGTTGCAGACTGTCCGGTTGACTTAACTTTGATCCAAAGGAAGGAAAAGCTCGAGGTAGGTGTGTGTGTGTGTGTGTGTGTGGGTGGTGGGTTGAGAGAGAAAGAGAGAGAGAGAGAGTGTGTGTGTGTATGTGGGATGAGTGTGGGAGGAATCGATAAAAACAAGAGAGTTGGGGGTGGTGGGAGAGACGAGGATAAGAATAAAGAAGCTAGATTGTGTGTATGTGTGTGTGTGTATCGTACCCGTCACCGACGCAAGATCGAGATGGATGCTCGGGTTGGTGGTTATTTACTTTTTGGTCAGAGTACGGATACGGAGAGTAGACGCGGTTGTCAAGAATCCATCCTATCTCCAGTCTTTTTTTATTTATTTATTTATTTATTCATGTTTCCTGTTCATCCCCTTCTCCAGGCAAGGAGAGAGCAGAAATCGACGAGGGAAAAGGATAGAGAAAAAAAACCCAAGATAAAAAGAGGGACGATACACGTCTTTGCACGTTATTTCCCACCATCAGACCATCCATGATGCTCAATGCCCCTAGACCCGACCAACTCTTGGAGCCGCGATAATAGGTCCGAAGACGGGGGTGGGGGACCCGAGCTTGGTATGATGACGCCGAACCGCCGCCCCACTCTTCATGGGTCGATTCTCTACCTATCTCTGTCTCTATCTCTCTCACTCTCTCTCTTGCTGTGGCCAGTCTCCGTTTCCCTCTCGTGTGCCGTACTTACATCACGGGAGGAAACTACCCATGTTCCCCCCTCATCGTACCTCGAGGGGACAATCGGCCAAGCATGACCAAAACGGCCAGAAACGACGACCTCCCTCCCCCCTACCAAGTATCAGAACTCAGTACTTGTTCCCCATCCGGAGAGTGGAAAGGACGGTGAAAAGGGGTTTACAACTCGTCCCGCGACTCAGCCAGAGCCCACAGTGGCCTCCTCAGGGTCTTTGCGGATCCTCGGCTCGGGCGAACGCAACGCCCACCACAGCTCTCGTCCGTCTTCCCACCGGCGAGCGTTTCGCTGTGTGTGGGGAAGGGCGGCATGTCATACACTAGGTATCCGTACACGGTTAAACTAATCGTGCGTGACGTATGTACCGGTACCTGCTTTTCTCTCTCTTGTGCCACTCTCTGTCTTCTTGCGCCTGCCCGCTAGCATCTGGGCCATTTCTCCGCATTGTACTGGATCGCATCAAACCTGTCCCTGCTGCCCACCGGGGCCCAGGATCCATCCTGGCGGCAGAAGAATGGGAGCCAATGCACCGAAGCCGCTGCCTAGGTCGTTCTAGGTATTGCGGCCTGCCTGGGACGAGGGGAGAGGGAACAGCCCCGACGATGACATGCTCCTGCTCCACTTTGCAGTCCAAAATTTCACGACGCCACGCCCATGTAGTGTACTTGTTCTCATCCATGATGTTGGGCTGTCTGGTCCTGCCTTGTTGCGGAATGTCTCTTCTCTTCTCTGTGAGTCGACGGATCAGCAGAAAAGAGCGCTCCGGTGCGGTGCTCATCCTTTCGCCGTAACCGTAACGGGGGAGGGGGAAGGAGGGGGGACCGATGGCCTCGATCAACAGTTGTCCCGGAAAGTACGGAGTAGGTTTCCGTCACAGTCTATAAACGATGTGCACATGCAGTCGTCAAATATGGGTGAGACCGGCAGCGCCTCTAGAGTCAGTGACTTTGCGGCTACTGCTACTGCTGTTGCTGCTTCTGTTGCCGCTGCTGTTGCTGTTGCTGTTGCTGCTCGGGCGCGTCGTGCGTCCGTGTCGGTGCTGGCTGAACTCTATCTTGAATGGGGGGAATTGCGGGGGAGGGAACGTAGAATTCACAAGCCCCGAAATTTCCATTAGGCAAAGGAGGGGAATTCGCATGGAGACGAGAACTTAAAAAAGTTGGCTCAAGTTCCCGTTTGCTTGTGATAACGCCCCCTTCTCTCCCTTCCCTTTCCTCTCCCCTTTTTCTTTACTGTTGCTGGGCGGGCTCCTGGAGGCTGAAGCCATCACCTCGCCTGCCTCGCGCGACGTTGACACAGCGAGGTACTCGATACTCGATTCTTGGTACTCGATACCTGGTGCCTGTGCTGTTTGGCCTCCCACCCCGCGGTACCCGTGACCATGTACCTAGGTAGTGCATTACATACTATGTAGTACCTAAGGGTTAAACTGGGCCCAGCTGGGGAAACTGGGAAAGAGCTAGCCGTCGCCTACCAAGTACTTAGGTACCTAGGTACCTCGGTACGCTATCCGTACCGTACCGTACTGGCATGAAGAGACAGAGTGCTTTATGCGTGTGTGCTGTGAACTTGTGACAGAGAGGGACCATGATCCAACGCTAGCAACGTGACGAGAATGTGGGGGCCGGCTGCGGTGGAGACACGTAAAGAAGAGCCGAGCGACTGGTGACGGAACACCCGTTTTTTCCTTCCTTTTCTTCCCCACGCATGCGCTTCTGAGCTTGACCCTCGCCTCGCTTCGCCTTGCCTTGCCTCGTCTTGTTTCGCTCCTACTACGTAGTAGCTCGTCCCTTCGTCTCTCTAATGCGGAAAATATCGGGATTGACATCTGGCAGACGCCCACTTTGCCTTCTGGGGTTTCCCCATGGCCGCCCCCCAAAGGCTCCACGCGTGGGCACGCCCAGTCAGCCAACCGCAGAGCTTTTCCGTCCCTCGGAATACCTTCGGCATGAGGATGCTCCGAGGCACGGCGGCTGGGCGGGTAGTAGCGTACACTAGAACGATGCTTATGTACCGATAATAGAACCACTTTCTTCTGATCCAGCGGCGAGAATCGCGCAATCCCCATGCGACGCCGAGACGTACACGTGTGGATTTTCTTCTTCTTGTCCTTCTCCATCTTCTTTTTCTTCTTCATGCCTTGTTGCCTTTTAATTTATTATCAATTTTTTTTTATATTTTTTTTTCATTATCTCTCCTTCCCCTGGTCCAATCATCGCTGACCCTTATGATCCCGCTGCATTCGGAATTGGTCCTTCCAGCATGCAGCCAGAGTAGCAGCCTAGTTGGATTGTCCGCATTCTGGCCGTTTCTCCCACTGTCCCGCCAGACTGCCCAGGACGATGTGGCCGACCAAACTGGGTCCGGAGGATGATACTGCGTTGGTCGAATGGGCTGGGCTGCTAGACTCTGGCAGCACCAAAGGGAGGCATGACAACCTCGGAATGCCGTTAGCACCCTGGTGTCCGAGTCAACATGCCGAAATCACCAAGTCGAACTGGGTACCGAAAGACGGTCTCTCCTCACTGGACACGGGTGTGGATAAGGGTTTTGATGGACTCGATCCATGGCGCCATGCCTGGCATCGGCCGTGTTTGTCGCAGGCGCATATTCTTGCATCATCTGCACGAGTCGCGGCAGGAAATCTAGCCCCCTGCCCTCCCCTCCCCTCACCCCAATCGACTGCGTGTGCCTGCCGCTACAACATAGTGTTAATAGTCTGCCTGTTTGTGCTGTCACGGTATCTGTTGTTATGGTAAAGAATTGTATCCCGCATCTGTCGATGCGCCCGGCTTGGCCCTGCGGCCGTGTCAGCTTTTCTCCTGCATCTACTCGAGCGTCATCGGAACGCCCGTCCGGTGACAGAGGCTCGATAACGAGCAGTCGCCTGCGAGGAATTTTATCTGACCCAAGGCGGCGCCGGTGAGGGATCGGTTCAATTCACCTCGTGACTCTCGGAAGCACCGTCGGCCGTCAGATTGATTGATTGATGTGTAGAGGGGCCCCCGCCGGCGAGACCCATCCGCTTGAATTTCGCCGTGATTCGCCGTGATTGATACGGAGCCACTTACCGACGGGGGCCAACCTCTGCCACTGGGCTTCACCGACCGGGGTGTGCCGACCTCACCTCGGGAGCCGCTTGGGTTGAGTCGCGTTGCTCTCCGACCCGATGAGAAGTGTCGCACACATCCCATAAGACCTATTCCAGCCTAGCTCGCTCCCTCTCTGCCCGAAACACTCACCTGAAGCTGTATCGGCAGCGTAAAAAAAACAAAAAAAGGAAGGGGGGGGGGGGGGGGGGGTCCGAAGAATAGAGTTCGATCGTCCGGTTACAAATTTGTGTGGAAAGCACATCATCGCCGAAAAACTCGCTGCCGTTAACATTTCCATAACTTTATGGCATCTCCCGGTACAGCGCATCAAGTAACCCGAACTCT